TCGGTGGAGAGGGTGGCGAGCAGGTCGGGGAGGCCCGGGCTGAAGGCAATGGCCGAGACGGACTTGTCGTGGGCCTGGAAGGTCCAGAGGGGCTTGGCGCCGGCCTCGACCGAGTAGCAGGAGACGAGGCCGTCCTCGGTGGAGACCAGGAGCTGGCTGGGGGAGTGCGGGTTCCACTCGAGGGCCTCGACGTCGGCCGGCAGGGTCCACGAGGTGGCCGGGGACTGGTGGCGCACGTCGAGGATGCACAGCTGCCGGTCGAAGGCGCCCGAGGCCAGCACCGACGACTCCTCGCAGTGCCAGCGCACGGCCTGCACTTTGTCCTTGTGGTACCCGTACGTCTGCAGGCACTCCGCTCGCCCCACGTCCCACAGCTTGACCGTCGCATCCTCGCTGCACGACGCCAGCACGTGCCTCTGGTGCCGGTTGAACGCCAGCCCCAGCACCGCCCCCGTGTGCGAACCCGCCCGCAGCTGCGGCCTCTGCTTCTTCTTCTTGCCCTGCCTGCGCGCCTTGCTCGGGTGCTGCGGCGCCTCCTCCTGCTCCAGCATCCCCCCGTCGTGTGTGTGTCGTGTGTGTGTAACGTACATGACACTCCGATCAGCCGTGCGACCCGCGGGTGGCAAAAGAAAAGGCGTGGGTGGGTGGACACGCACGTGGATCAGGCCACCCAGCACCGCCGTGGGCTGCAGGGCGTCGACGACGTCGAGGTCCCAGATCTCGATCGCCGGATCAAAGGTGCCGATGGCCACGAAGCTGCCCTTGCCCCCACCTACATCGACACGACACACACACGACACACGACACGACGACACACACACCAATCCCCCCGCACGCACGTCAGCACCGCCGCACAGCGCTCCGCCGGGAGGAGGAGGAGGACAGGAGGACAGAACGACGCACACGGCACCACCGGCACCACCAGCACCACCACCACCACCAGCAGGGCATCACGCCAGGACCACGCCCTTGGCGGCTGTGGTGGGAGAGAGGGAGGGGAGGGGAGCTACCTTGGGTGCGTCCGGGGAGAGAGTCGGTCCAGGCGAGGGAGAGCGGGTAGGTGGGGAGCATGATGTCGTGGTGGACGTAGAGGTTGTCGTCGGGCTCCTCGTAGATGTGCACGTCCAGGTGGCTGTAGTCGTCCTCGGCCGTCCCCGTCACCAGCAGCGCATCGGTGGTGCGGATGGTGAAGTCGTCCAGGTCGTCCGTGTCGTCCTCCTGCCACACACGCGTGAGCCCTCCTCATTATCACCATCATCACCATCACCATCATCACCGCAGCAGCGGCATCGCAACCGCGGTTCCATCACGTGGCGCTGGCTGGTGGCTGGCTGGTGGTGGATGCACACAAGCACCACGTGGAGGGGGGGAGCGCGTACATCGCGCACGGTGATGTAGGGGTCGTCCTCGTTCTTCTGGAACACCACGTCCTCCGCCACACCCAACACGCCTGGCCCGACACCCCGCCGCCCACGCCCACGCCGCACGTGGTGGTGGTTAGCGACAGCCGCGCGGGCCACGAGGTGCATTGGCAGCCTTTGCACCCAAAGTACTATTATTATTATTTTCGTATTCTTATTCTTATTATGAATAAAAAGTAAACTCTTAAAAATAAATAAATAAACAGAGGTCAAAGGTACCGCCGCCCTCGTCGTCGTAGTCATCCAGGTTGTACTTTTTAGAGATCTCGTCCTCTCCTTCAGCCTCCGCCTCCACTTCAGGCTCGCTTCCCTTCCCATTCAACGACATGCTATTTTGGATGAAGCAGCGAGGTGAGAATGAGTGAAGAAGACCCACATATATACAAATCTTATCTCAGGTCCGGAAATGCGTTGAAAAATTGGTACCTGCCCAGAAGGCCCCGCATTTCTTCTTCGGAGGCCTTGTATACCGTGGGGAGGGTCTTGGCCGCCCCCCGAGGAACCCAACACATGGCCAGAATCATCCTTCTCGTGCTCGTGTGGTGCGCGGAGGGTAGATATAACAGGTGTGCACGCCTTTTTTCCGTTCTCCGCCATTTCTTTCTTTCTTCCGTGCGTGCCCCATCGTTAAGGAGGCGCGCCACGTCCAATAATTTGTGGTAGTCCAAGAACAAGAAAGACCAACCCACACTACCAAGCAGCAGCCAGCCACCAGCCAGCCACAATAAAAATAATAATAATAGAATAGAATACACAATGCAGTCGCAACCAGCCAGTGGGGAAGCCGCCGTGCGCCTCGACGAAGCCCTGTTCCTTGCCGCCAAAGGTAGTTTTTCTTTTAATTGCAAATATCAATGATTATTATTTTAGTAATTATCAACAATTATGTACGTTCTTCCCCAGTCCCCTACGGCAACAACAATTTGGGGGCGGTTGGTAGGGCTGGGCTGGGGGGGGGGTGTGGAGCGCCTGCGCGTTCTTTCTACCTGTGCGTGCGTGCGTGCGTGCGTGCGTGCGTGGTTGGAGGACACCAACTGACACCTGGTGGCTGGGTGGGTGGCGCGGCGACGACGGCAGCCGGGAGTGCCGACGACGTGGAGGAGCTGTTGGTGCGGCACGGCGTGGAGGTCAACGCGACCGACCACTTGGGCAACACGGCCCTCCACTACGCGGCGGGGGCCGGCCACCTGGCCGCCGTCCTCGCCCTCCTCGCCCGGCCCTCGTTGCGCCTCAACGCCACCAACAACGTCGGCGACACGCCCCTCCACAAGGCATCCTCCCTCCCTCCCTCTCCATTCTCTCCATTTGTTGGCTGGCTGGCTGGGCTGGCTGGCTTGTTGCCCCATCACCCGAGGATGTGAGCCGACATATCGAGACCTCTTTCTATTTACATACAGGTACGTACGTCGTGTATCGTACTAACTAACTCGCGGTGCTGGTGGCTGGTGGTCGGTTGGGGCCGTGCGGGCTTGCAGGCGGCGTGGCGCGGCAACCGGGAGGTGGTGGAGGCCCTTGTCAAGGCCGGAGCCGACACGACGGTGAGCAACGGGGCCGGCCAGCAGCCCTTCGCCCTCGCCAAGGACTCTGCCGTGGCCGCCCTCCTCGAACCCTCCTCCGCTTCGGGTACGCCAAACTCCGCCGCCGCCGGTGGTGGGTAGCAGCAGTGGTGGTGGCGGTGGTGGTGGTGGTGTGGCGGTGGTCATTAACACCACGTGGTGTGTCTGTGCTCTGCGGAGCAGTGGAGTATCCCGACGACAGCGACGAGGAAGAAGGCGGCGGTTCTGACTCAGACTAGAAGCCACGTCGTACGACGTCGCCGTACCCAGCCCCCTCCTTTTGTCAAAAAACCCAAAAAGGAGAGGGAGGGAGCCTTGCCCGCGCCTCCGGATCGAATAAGACCGCCCCTGGTTTTCATTGTACCCTCCAGAGGGTATGGGAGGGAGGGAGGGAGGAGGGAAGGGAAGGGCAGCTTGGGAAGGGGAGCTTAGGAAG